GTTTTGCTTTGAAGGACTGGATCTTACGGAGAAACTAAATGACCAGCTAATCAATAGATGTGCTTGCTTTGAGTCCCAGTATTATAGCTGGCTCAATATACTGATAGGTTACTCTTCAGCCTTTTCACACACATCCTGGCAATGAGAGAAGTACCTCTCTGCAGTACGAGCACCACTGTTCCCTGAAGTAAAATGCATATCCTGTATGTGCGTGCATGGAGCTGTGGTGTTGTGTGAAAAAGTCCAGGGCCAGCCTCATCCTGATCTTTCCCTCTCATCACGGCTGTGTCTGTTTTTAATCTGGGCCAGTGATTTATGAAGGAGCCTGGGCTGTGTATATCTCCTCACTTCCTTTCATTTCTCAAATGGTTTGTGCACCGCGGGATGATAGATTTATCTACACACAACCCCTGCATGACTAATTAACTCTGAAATATCAGGGCCAGATGTGGAACTAAAAGAAAGACCCCAGAGTGCTTTCTCTCTCGCTCGATCTTACTCTTTCCTTTTTCCTAACTGTTGCTTGTGATTTTTCTTCTTTTCTTTGCCCCTTCTCAGCACTTGGCTATAATTCTGCTGATAATATGACAGGCTGTTTTAGGAAAATGTAAATGTTGTAGGGACTGAAATAGCAAATTGACACAGTCGATAGTTTGGATTTTGAAGGCAGCTCAAATAAATGTGTTTGCCTGAAGCAACACTTGTTTTTCTTTTTCTCTTTACAGTCTGGGTTTGTTACACACAAATTTGCAATTAAATGTGCACATGAGGTTCAAATGAAAGCCCAGTAATCACAGACTTAGTGATTAATGGGGGAAATGAAGACAAACATGAGCATTATTACCCAAAGTGTTCTTTGTCCAACTTCAACCTATCAAACCTTTTAAAGCTGTTTTATAAGCAGAATCGGTTTTGAATTTCTTTAAATTGTCAAGAATGATGACAGATATAAAAATCGAATATGTTCATTAGATTTTCCCCTCTTCTACTTTTGATAGAGCTTTACATGCAAATTATACAAATGATGTAGTTTTTCTTCTTTCATTTTTAGAAATACTTGAGCCAGAACATAGCACATCATCTAGCTAGCTCAGCTAGCTATGCTAAGATGCTAACATCCCAATCTGCTAAATCTTTAAAATCTTTTTTAATCAAGTTCGATTAAGTATGCTGATCATTTTGTGAGTGCAGTGGGGTGGGTTGAGTGGATTCCCACTCATTTTCTATGTCACTTGTGACCGGTAACACCACAGATATAACAAGGTTGATTAAAACACTCAAAATTCAATGAAAGAGGTGACCATCACTTTTATATGTTCAAGCGCATAGTGTGGAAGATATAAGGCCTTGAGGCAATCAGATGTAAAACACAATACTTATGAGTGTTTTAAGTTGTTAATCAGTCAGATTTGACCCAAATCCGACAGGAAGGCTAGAAATGTAACCACACATCGGGGACATCAATGCAGCCCACAGTTATTGTGATCGGCCAATTCAGTGCAGTCAATGCCTCCTGTGAATTCCTGGCAACTTTTTCACAGCTAGTTTTGAATTGATCAGTGAGAGAATGTCAAAAAACACAACCAGACAAAGAGTCAATCATGATATCATGTACATGCTGTACATGTAATGCACCAGCACAAGCATATTCGTCACGTCTGCTAATTGACGTCCGCTTAGCTAGTGTGTTTGTGCTGTTGGTGCATTTTAGAGGATTTTAAGCAATTATCTGACAAATAAAATGATTTGCTGTGTGGCACAGACCATCCAAGAACTTTGCTTGTTTAAGATTTAGTTGGTCAATTTCTAGCATTTCATTGGCATGAAATACGGAAATAGTCAAATAATACCATTTTACACCAGATACGCAAACGGACATTACTTCAGGTCAATTAGCTCGCTGAAACAATTTCTCTGCCTCTCCACATTTAGTCTCAACTTGGGTTCACAATGTTCTGTGAAAAGTCGACATTGACACATTTGGTGTGTGATCCGAAAAAGTCAGAATTTTGTTTTTTACTTTTATATTTCAGTGTGGCCACGGCTTTCTTTTGAAGCATCGAAGTATGAGAAAAATAAGCTTACATGTCACTTCATCTGTGACCTTGATGAACATTTTCTTGACAAGGTTAATGTGCCACTTGCAAGGTTCTTACTGAACAGTACATGATGTTCCATATTAGAGTAAAAAAGAAGATAAAAGAGGGGCTTTGAGTGTGGCTAGCTAAGTGAGTGATGGCTAAAATGCTCAGCTTCAGAGGATCTAAAATGAGCAAACAAAAGACCGCCATGGTCGTTGGTAGTGACGCGCCATTAGCATTGCAAAAAGGGGACATTTCCTCGAAGTACGCTGCCTTATTAGCCTCCACTCACAAAGAATGGTCTCTTATTAGCATTACTGATCTCCAAGGTTATCTTGAAAAAACAACATTTTTCAGACTCCTCTCTGACTTTTTCCGCGTGCTTCATTTTTTAAAATAGGTTGGTATGAACTGAGTAAGTCAGGAGAAAGACAAGGAGGTGATGAGTAAACCTCTTCTGGGCAGATCCACCTTAAAAAAAGCCAGAAGGCCCCTCTGACACGCTGACAGCTTGCCATGAGTGACGTGTGATCTGTACAAATTTCAGGACTAATAAATCTACCTGTCAGAGGAAGGAGACTTGAAAGGGCCGCTGCCCCGCGGCACAGCTTAAATGCAACTGCTGTTGATGAAATTCTGTAGGCTGGAGAATTACAGCTGTCAGGAAAAAACGCCTACATCAGATCTGACGGCTCGCCTGGCTCCTATACCAACCTGTTCTCTGTCTCACAAAGCCTGTATGCTTTCATTTCCTCTGATCCAAAATATGTGAGACATGAACTTTCAAAAACTAGGGTGGGAAATATTATCTTTGCTACGTGCAACCACGCACTTTCCCTACATTTACTATTTGTTCTTTCTCACAACAAAACGTTCTCTGGAAGGAACAAAGTTAAATCATATCGCACACAGCTGTTTTGCTTTTCCATTACAGAGCAGCTCTATTTTCTTTTTGCTTTGAAGTTCAGCTGGACCGTAGCCAGTAAGAGACATATTCACTGCTGGTCCATGACAGTTATAAACATCAGCTCACCCATTCCATCATCTAAAGAGAGAGGCATAAACCAGCTGAGTGTGTTGCTGTATTTATGGCTAAACGAGTGGAAAAGCCATTGCTCCCTCTAATCTGTCATAAAGAGGATTTATGGGTGTGTGATGTGAGGACCTTGTTCAGACTGTATTGACTCATCTCATGCAGGCTCCATAAGGCATGCAGCTACCCCGGCTCCAAATCAATGGATGAAGAAGTCAATATAAAAAAAACTTTTGTATTTCCATTTAGTGAAAAGAAATCTATTACTGACCACAGGAGCCTGTTTTCTTTGTATAACTAAACTACCAAATCTGCAGCCATGCTAACAGCAGGCTACACTTTACATGTTAGCATGATAGCATACATATAACAGCTAGGTGTTGTTCTCTGTCTCCACAGGCTTAGAGGATTAGCTTGATAACATGCCAACATTTGCTTATTTGCACAGAACACTATTTACAGCCGAAGCTTTGACATTCAAATTTTGTCCTTCTGATTAATTAAAATCTAAAAACATCCTGTTAAAGCAAGAAAAAAAGTCAGAGTCAGTCCAGAGGTTTTTCACTGGGGACCATGAACATCTCAAACAAATTCTATCCAATAGCTACTGATGCTGTTGCACTCCAAATCTTTAATATCATAGTAATGCAAGAACCAAGATTTAGGAAGTCGATTGCTATTCAAACTGGTAGCTGAAAACTGTGTGTGGTGCTAGATCACAATGTGAATATGTTTGCCAGAATTCCATTATGATGTCTCAAGGCATGTCATAAAACAGTGTTAACGTTATCATGACACCATGTGATAGTCAGAGGATCATCGAACAATTCTTCCTCAGGGTAGCACAAACATCTGAACCGAAACTCCATGAAAGTCCATCTGGTAATGCTTCAGATATTTCAGTATGCACTGAAGTGGTGAATTGACTGACAACGTAGACTAACAATGATTTATAATGGGCTTTAAAGGAGAAAATATTTGTATCATGGGGAAAATAAGAGCAGTGCTTCTCTGTTACCCCTCTTTAACCCCTCTATCATGTCAGTGACCTTCTGGCCCCTTGTTTAACTCCCAGCATGCCCTGGGGCTTGAGGTTCACGCCTGGGTCTTGACCAACAGACACAGTCAAAGGTCATTCTCTCTTTGCTTAAGGTATCTTATCTTAAGGCATGTGTGTGTCACCTCTTCAACTCCCAAAACACCCTGCTGGGACCAACAAAAAAACAAGCATACAAATTCCTGCTTACAGCTGAACCTTGTTTATTTCTCTACACTATGTGTATATGCTTGTAAATGTGCGTTGACACTTCTCTGTACTTTTTTTTTTTGCTGATGTGGGTGCGATGTACAGGAATACAGGGCCAGGGCCTCCATGTGGTTAAAAAACAAACTTTTCTGTACTCTAATCTCCTTTTACACAAATATGTGGGTGGTGGGTTTTGCAAAAAATAAAAACTAAATGAAATAAATTAGGTAACTCTGTGTACTGAAAAGGATCTGAGGTATGAAAAGTCAACCAATGGAGATGCACCATTGAAAAACAAAAAGGAAAAACCGATCTAAGTGAGATTTGAGTAAAAGCATATATACCCAATAGCTTTTTTTAGGTACCCGTTCAGCTTATCTTTAGTACAAATATCTAATCAGGGAATCACATGGCAGTAAATATGTTTGTTCATTTATGTAGAAGCTCAAACTGAGCATCAGAATAGTGAAGAAAGAAGGTTTTTAGATCTTTAAATGCATTGTGTTTGTCACCGGCACACTGAGTAATTCAGAAAGAGCTGATCTACTGAGATTTCCTGCATGGCCATCTGTAGGGTTTACAGAGAAAGGTCTGAGAGAGAAAATATTCAGTGAGTGGCAGTTCGCCGCAGGGAAAATACCTTGTTGATGTCAGGGTTGAGTAGAGAATGGCCAGACTGGGTTGATTTGTTAGCAAGTCAAACTCGTTACAACCGATGTTTGCCGGAGAGCGTCTCTGAATGCACAACTCATCGAAACTTGAAGCAGATGAGCGACGTCAACAGAAGACCACACCACGTGCCACTCCTCATAACAGGAAACCGAGCTGCAGTTCTCACTGCCTCATCAAAAACTGGACAACAGAAGATGGGAAAAATGTTATCTACCAGCTATCTGATTGGTCTTGACTTCTGCTGTGACATCCAGATGACATGGTCTGAATTTGGCATAAAGAACATGAAAGCATGGATCCATCCTTCCTATTATCAACAGTTCAAGCTGATGGTGGTGTAATGGTGTGGGGTGATATCTTCTTGGCACCCTCTGGGCCCCTCAGTACTAACTGAGCATTGTTTAAACACCACAACTGAATCTATGTCGAATCTATCTCAGTAAGAATTAAGCCAGTTCTGAAGGCAAAACCCAATTGTCAGGCAGTTCAAGAGACCTGTCAGTGTTACCACAAAGCTGACAGTGAGGACGAAACTTTGAAGTAAAAGACTTTCAGTGGGTGTAATTTTCTCCCTAAGTCTAAGTTTGGCTAGTTATTTAAGAAGAACAGCCTGATTCTGTTGATACAAATGAGTCCATTCACCAGCAGTCTTGATGACCCACAATTGAGAGATGATTTTAAAACCTCTGATGTTTAAAATAAAACAGAAACACAAGTCCCAATCAGCATTGTGTGACTGGGAACACTCACATGATAAACAGTGGTCTTAACCGAGTTAAGGGGATGAATCAGCCATATTTCATTTCATTTACTTAACCACTTAGCAGATGATGGAGGTAGTGCTGCTTTTTGTTTCTCACCATGTTTCTTCGCTTAACCTAAACGAGGTAGAAGTTTCTAGCCTTCCGTCGTAATCTAATTGCAAAGTGTGGAAGGAAAACATTGAAGGCATAAACAGGGAGTTAATCTTTATCTCTGAACTCACCGCCTGCCTGTCAATTGGAGGGAAGGGCGGCAAGAAAAAAAACAAAAAAACCCAACACAGGTATAATTTAGCATGACAGG